CCTCTTTAAATGCACATTTTTTAAAATTTTCACTATGGTCCCGAGGGGGTGCATTTAGAGAGGGTTGACTGTATATGCTTTTTTTTTTTAATATTTAATATAAAAAGTGGAAAAAAAATGTATTTAAAAAATAAATGTAACATGTATATTTTATAATTATTTAAACTCAACTGCAAAAAGTGATCGGCATTACAAATTGTGATGCTCACGTGACTAATAAAGATAACTGCGCGATTTTTTCACAGATTTCTTTTCATATTGGCAAGCATAGCACTCCCAGAAGACTATTTACAATCCACCTCACCAATAAATTGGACTCTAGACGACTTCGCAGATTGGACCGCTATCAATCATTCTGACGACAAGAAAAAAAATAATCTATTACATGAAAAACGGTCTCAATAATTACAGCAAGAATGACTCTAACGAATATGCAAGAAGGCAGACGATTTGCTTAATAGTTTAAAGGTGAGAATATGGATGTGCTTCTGCGGCACATCCAAGGGACTACATGTCAGCCGGGTGTTGAACTATATGTTCGCCACGGATTCCTACATTTAGACTAGCTTTTATTTGTTTATCTAAAGGATATGAATTAATATTTTCTATCCATTCTATACTTCTATATATTTTTCAATGAATACAATGAAAAGGAATGGAAAACCAACAAGAATAAGACTAATTATTTCCAGACATTAAAGGATAAGAAGAAAATAGCTGAGTTATGAAGTGAACAAGAAGTGCGACTGGCTGATATTGAATGTTCGGCGGTAATTTGTTTTCACCATTTCTTTATATAAAATCTTAAGGTTGTACTAATCAATAATCTTTACAGGTCCGACAGATGCAAAATCACACAAATGCAGCAGTAACTATTCATCAAGAAATTGCTGAAAAATTTATAGGAGTGGTTCAGAAAATTTCTACAGTAGAACGGCCATGTACACTAGAGGATAAGGTTATATTTTTTCCATCATGTTTTTTAATGTATAGTCCACCTTCTTACCTTTCAGATGTGCACAGATTAGAACTGTCACGTTCAGTGATGAGCCCTCCTCAGTTCCCAGACCCACAGAAGATGAAAATGAATCGGAAGAGGTAATGATCCTTTTTTTATTATATGTACAGAAGATATTGGTTAAAGTTTTGGAATTTTTGCTTTAGGAATCTGAATTCGAGAAATCTGAATTTGAGGAATCTGAATATGAGGAATTGGAATCTGAGGAATCGAATGTGATGTATGATGCTGTTGCTGAAACTCAGAACCACAACGTGGATAAGGAGGGAAAGGTGAGTTATAGACGTCCATCATGTCATTTTGAATGGACCAAGTGGGGTGTGTGAAATTATTTTATATAAGGTGGTAATACTGTTTTATGTAGTCGAGGCCTTTCAAGATAACGATGCAGACCGAACAGAGATTGAAAATGTTTATACGAAGATGAAGAAGGACTTCATGTGGAAGTTATCAAGCGGAAAATTGGTAGAAGAAGAGCTTTATAATATCGGAAAGAAACTGGAATTCGAACAGTAAGTTTTATGGTATAAATAAACCTTATATGTGGTAGGAAAAATATATTAATTTAATGTAATGTATGGGCTAGTGCTATACATTCCTTCATAATCGATACAGAAGATGAAATAATCAAGCAACACTTCAGCAAATATGAATTAGATGAAATAGATGATGCGCCTATTCCGGAGGTTCCAGATCTCCCTCAGAGTGTAATTGAGTACTTAAATAAGTTTATAAACATAGTAAGTTATAGATTGTATAATTTATAAATAGTCTGTACATACAGGATGATGCTTACACTAACTTTTTTCTGTTAGACCAGTACAAAGGAAGTGCGTTCTATAATTAACAAGCAAGATGATAGATCCGAAGCAGGTTATGATTCATCTATTTACCACGATCTGGATTATATTCGGTTCGCATTTTATGCGTTGTAAGTTTCCATGTACTTATAGTAACTGCGCCACTTATTTCAGTTTTAAAATCTTTTACATTTACACAATTATCATTAACTGACATTGGGGTTTCCGGTAAATTATAATCATCCATGCTTGTATATCGTGTTCTTTTAGTATAATATTTACCATTTTTTGTGCGTGGCTGGTCTTTTGACTTTCTTTTTTGTTTAGAAAGAGGTGGCATTTTTTTAAATTTAAATACAAAAATAGCGATTGAATGTGTTTGAATAATGTTTTAATACAAATCACATGCAGATTTTAATGTTCAATTTATATAACTTCCAATTTATATAACACGTTTTATAAAATTTCAACGCGATTGCGCGAAGAAATTACTTTGTCACGTGATAATAATCGCGCGTTTTTATTGGCTGAATAGCTACATACTCATGTAAATACCCCTGCAAAGTTAGTCCGAAATTTGGCCAATATTAGTAATGTACCCGATTTTAAAATCCCGATAACTTTTAAAATTATATTTTAATCCAAAATATAAGCGGATTTTCTGAAAGAGCATAACTTAATCTATATAAAATCAGCTTATTTTTTTAATAATTAATAAAATAAATAACTAGATACATTTAGAATTTATGCTAAATTTTTGATGACTATAGATGTTATGCATCATAGTACACTTATAATTTTATTTTTTAATTTAATGTTGCAAATTTCTTTTTAATTTTCTAATTTTTTTATAATCTTTATGATTATTATAAACAAATATAAATATATTTGATATTTTTATATTTTTGATTTAATGTTAATTCAAGAATTTTTATATAAAAATTTATAAAAAAATAGCCGAAAAATAGTCTAAACTAACCTTTCTATTTTGGAAATTTATATGACGATCAATTTTGTACCAATCAAAATTTAATAATTATGTGATGTATCAAAAATGATCATCACAAAATTCAACCAATAAAATCAAATGTCCATTATGCTAAAAAAGGTCCACAAAATGGTAGAAAAAACAAAATCTGTATTTACTTTTATAGAGAATTTTTTTTTTGATTGAACTTTACAAAATGGATCTACGTTCTTGGGTTTCCGATAGCGTGATGAAATTACTTGGAATGTCTGAGAAGATCTTTGTAGATTACATTATTGCTGAAGCACAATCTTGCAAAACTCGAGAGGCTTTACGAGAAAAGTTGGAAGAATTACCACAAACAACAGAAGCTCAACGTTTTATTGACGATCTATTTGATCGAGTACCAAGAAAAAAGTCTCAAAAGGATGAGGCTTATTTAAAAAGAAAAAGGGAAGAAAAGGAAGCTAAAGAAACTTTAGCTAAATCAAAATCATACAAGTTGATTCTCGATGACTTTAGTTTTGAAGAACCATCTTCAAAGAAATCGAAAAAATCTAAAAAAGACAAAAGTTTACGTAAAAAAGAAAAATCTAATGCATGGGAAAGTGATTCGGATGATAAGATATCTAAAAGTTCGTCGTCAAAGAAAAGATCAAAATATTCTGAATCTGAGGATGAATATGAAAAAGAAGAAAAAGAAAAAATTAAAGATTTAAAAGAAAGGGATGAATTCGCTAAACGATTGAGACAAAAAGATAAAGAAAAAACCAAAAAACTTGTTGAAGACAGATCTTCTAAGGCAGAAAGTGATGCTGCTAAAAGACGTAATCTTGCCGATGATGCGGATGCTCGTAGGAAGGTTCTACCAGACATTCGTGAGCGTTCTCGTCAAGAATACTTAAGAGATCGTACTGATAAACAAATGAAAATGTTAGAATTAGGAATCCTTGATGAAGATATGTTATTCAAAGGTGAAAAACTAACCAAAAAAGAGATAAGAGAGCTTGAATTAAAAAAAGAAACCCTCAGGTTAACAAAAGAAAGATTGAGTCTTTCTGGAAAGACTGATGATTATGCTATGCCCGAAGATTATATTACGGAAAAAGGAAAAATAGACAAGAAAAAAAAGGAGACAGTTCTGTATCAACGTTATGAAGAGGATCGTGACCAGAACAAGTTTGTCACAGATCAAGACCAATGGGAACAAAATCAGATCGTAAAATCACAATTAAAAGTTGGAGCGCAGGATAGATTAAAACAAGAAGATCAATATGATTACGTTTTTGACGATCAATCCATAGAATTTTTAAATTGGGATTGGAAAACCAATAATGAAGATGATGAAATAATAGCCAAAATTGACGAGGCCGAAAAGAAAGCAAAAACTATTGAAGAAACCCGTAAATCTTTGCCGATTTACGCTTTTCGTGATGATTTACTTAGTGCCATAGAAGAATATCAAGTTCTGGTTATCGTAGGAGAGACAGGTTCCGGTAAAACCACTCAGCTACCACAATATTTATATGAAGCTGGTTATACCAAGGGCGATAAAAAAGTTGGTTGCACTCAACCTAGAAGAGTTGCTGCTATGAGTGTGGCTGCTCGTGTAGCTGAGGAAATGGGTGTTAAACTTGGATACGAGGTTGGTTATTCAATCCGATTTGAGGATTGCACATCAGACAAGACTATAATTAAATACATGACTGATGGTATGTTACTTCGTGAATTCTTGACTGAACCTTTATTAGACGGTTATAATTGTCTTATTATAGATGAGGCTCACGAGAGAACTTTACATACTGATGTTCTCTTTGGATTGGTTAAGGATATTGCTCGTAGCAGACCTGATCTAAAACTTTTAATTTCAAGTGCTACACTAGATGCTCAAAAATTCGCGGATTATTTTGATGGAGCTCCGATCTTTTCTATCCCAGGAAAGCCTTACCCAGTCCAGGTTTGCTATACAAAAGCCCCTGAAGCAAACTATATTGGTGCTGCTGTTACAACTGTGATGCAACTACATATTACTCAACAGAAAGGTGACATTTTAGTCTTCTTAACAGGTCAAGAAGAAATCGAAACTGTACAAGAAAGTTTACAACAAGCTTGTAGGGCCTTAGGTAGCAAAATAAGGGAGCTTATAATATGTCCAATTTATGCTAACCTTCCTCCCGACATGCAAGGAAAGATATTTGAACCAACGCCACCTGGTGCTCGAAAGGTGATATTAGCCACAAATATTGCAGAGACATCTATTACTATTGACGGTGTCTCTTTTGTTATTGATCCAGGATTTGTTAAACAAAACTTTTATAGCGCAAAAACACGTATGGAATCGTTAGAAGTTGTTACTTGCTCAAGAGCTTCCGCAACACAACGTGCAGGAAGGGCTGGTCGTGTTGGACCGGGACATTGTTTTAGATTATACACAAAACATGCATACGCTAATGAAATGGAAGAAAATAATGTGCCTGAGATCAAAAGAACTAACTTGGGTCATGTTGTGTTATTGTTAAAAAGTATTGGTATTCGTGATGTGATGAGTTTCGAATTTATGGATCCTCCTCATGAACAAGCGCTTATTTCAGCCCTTAAGGATCTATCTGATCTTGGCGCTTTAAATAATGAAGGAGAATTAACTAAACTCGGAAGGCGTATGGCTGAATACCCTTTAGATCCTGTGTTGTCCAAAACTATAATAACTTCCGAAAAATATCATTGTTCTGAAGAGGTTATATCAATTATCAGCATGCTTAACGTTCAAAGTTCAGTTTTTTATCGACCAAAAGATAAAAAATTTCATGCCGATAAAGCGCGTCAAAACTTTACTAAATCGGGTGGAGATCATTTAACGTTATTGAATGTATGGGAACAATGGGTAGATACAAATTATTCATTAAGCTGGTGTCACGAGAATTTCATTGTATATCGTTCAATGACACGAGCACGAGATGTTAGAGACCAACTTGTTGGATTGTGCGAACGTACTGAGGTCAAATTGGAATCAAATCCAAATCCTGCTGATATAGAACCAATACAAAAATCTTTTGTTGCAGGATTTTTTATGAATACAGCTAGACTATTACCATTTGGTGATTCTTATCAAAAGATTAAATTTGGGGAAGCCGGAAGAAGAATACATATTCATCCAAGTAGTTCTTTATTTCAAACACCACCAAAATGGGTGCTCTATTATGAATTAGTTGCTACTCAGAAAGATTATATGAGACAAGTTATGGAAATACAACCTCAATGGCTAACAGAAGCCGCACCCGCTTGTTATACAAAAGCGGAATTAGAAAAATTGGATTCAAAAAAGAAAATGCCAAAAAATCATCAAACTACAGGTTCATCATCTTCGAACTTCCATTAAGATGTCTATTAGTTTAAGATAAAATATAAGCTTTTATTAATATAACTTGTACTATTATTATTATTATTAATATCATTAAAAGCTATTTTTTTTATCAGCAAATATTTCTCGTTAATATTTAAAGTTAATTATTTTTTTCTAGAATACATTATCTTCAGATGAATTAAATAGTTTTGTGATTTTAAGCAAGAAAATTATTTGAATATATTAAAAAATGATAGAAATTAATATCACGTTAAAATAAATTGAAAGTTAAAACTAAATATTATTTGGAAATTTTGTTAGGTTTCAAAATATTCAATTCTTATTAAAAATAGATTTAATTCAAAAATTGATTAAATAAAAGTAAAGAAATATTAATTAATTGATTATAAATTAGATTTCATAATTATTATTTAAATATAATTTTTGATTTTTAAATAAAAACATTTGTTATTTTATATTTTATAATTATATAATTTATATGATATAAATATAATATTATATAAATTTTATATTTTTATATTAATTTACTAAAATTAAAATATAATAAAATAAAATATAATAAAGTATTAATAATACTTAAATTTAATTTCAAGTGATTCGTTTAAGTGATTAAAATTATTTTTGCAATAAATTTTTGCCTAAATTAACTATTTTATTACTTTATACAAAAAAATTTTTTTTGAAGTTTTATATAATGGTTACTAAAATTCTTCCAAAATTAATCTAGGAGCAATGTTCATACTTTGTAATTCTTGAAAAAGCAATTTAGCAGCATAAGGCATTTGCATAGTGACCATAAATTTACTT